GAATGAGAGGCAGGTACCAGATTACAGAAATTGTCTCTCTCTGTCTCTTATCTTTCCGATCAAGTATGTTAATTCCTAAATAAAACTCTATCTACTCTTTAATCAGGTTGTGCACCGCTGCTGCTGTGTTAGTTACTCTGCCAACAAGCACACGTTCTGCAAGGAACATCTCCCAGGGCTGGAAAAGGGCCCCCGAACATCTTACCTTCTCCGCTTTGCCAGCTTTCCCTTTGGTGGACGTGACCGCGGGCATTCTTGCTATCTCCACGGGCCAGTATCGGCAATCTGCAATCCGTTTCCGAAAGCTGAGAAGAAGAGGAGGAGGAGGAGGAGGAGGAGGAGGAGACTGGATTTATACGCTGCCCTTCACTACCCAAAGGAGTCTAAGAGCGGGTTACAATCTCCCTTCCCCTCCCCACAACAGACACCCTGTGAGGTCGGTGGGGCTGAGAGAGCTCTTTGAGGACTGCTCCTGAGAGAACAGCCCTGAAAGAACTTGTAACGGACCCAAGGTCACACCAGCAGCTACATGTGGAGGAGTGGGGAATCAAACTGGGTTCTCCCAGATTAAAGTCCACACTCCTAACCACTACACCAAACTGTGGAGCGAAGGAAGGGAAAGACACTTAGAGATTGATAGGCTGAGATCGGTCAGTTCTCAGCCTCCAATGAGGAAGAAGAGAAGAGATTGGATTTATACCCCGCCCTTCACTACCCAAAGGTGTCTCAGAGCGGCTTACAATATCCTTTCCCTTCCCCCCCCCCCCCCCGTTTTTTCGCTTAAAAGTTCATGCGCATGGGAGGGCCCCCTCCCCCGCTCACTTCACTTCTTGGTCCGTGGGGTGGGGAGCGACAGAAACTGCTCTTTTTCAAGAACAGCTCTTATCAGAGCTACGGCTTGCCCAAGGTCATCCAGCCAGGTGCAAGTGGAGGAAGAAGAAGAGATTGGATTTATACCCCGCCCTTCACTACCCAAAGGTGTCTCAGAGTGGCTTACAAACTCCTTTCCCTTCCCCCCCACAACAGACACCCTGTGAGGTAGGCGAGGCTGAGAAAGCTCTTGACAGAAACTGCTCTTTTTCAAGAACAGCTCTTATCAGACCTACGGCTTGCCCAAGGTCATCCAGCCAGGTGCAAGTGGAGGAGTTGGGAATCAAACCCGGTTCTCCCAGATTAGAGTCCGCGCACTTAACCACTCCATGACACCAAACTGGCTCTCGCCAAAGGCCACCAATAATGTTTAAAAGAAGATTCTCAGTTCCCCAGTCACCCGGTGTTCTACCACAGAGAATCTCCTGCTTTGCCCTTGGGCGGATCTATCTCATCTCCTTAGGGCTGCCAATTCCCCCCGGGGGGCGGAATTCCCCCCGCTTCGAAGCCCCGATATCCGCTTTTGCGGAATCGGGGCCCGGGGGAAACCCCACCCCCGCATGGACGTCGCTTCCCTGTGACGTCATCACGCTGGGCGGGGCATAGCCATTTGAGGGGAAA